TTGCTGACATCTTGGCTGAAATTTAGGTAATAAAGAATGGGTCCAAGTGGTAAGCAAAGAAGTATCTTTGGACTCAGAAACTTAAGAGAATAAACATTTTAGTTCTCAATAGTACTGAATTGCAGGGAGATGGTTCTCCAGAAAGAGCTACCCACAGTATGTAGTGGGAACTCCAGGGAACACAAAAGGCTTAGAAGCATGCTAAAATCCTTCAGAAGGAAACAGCTGAGCAAAAGATGGGCTAAATCAGCGCCAAAACAGAATTGAGTGGTTTCTCCAAGCCATGTCTCTATCCAGGCTGGCGGCCCACTCTAGAGAATATAGAAAAGCAATRAAGGATGCGGCTCTGCAACAAAGTGACAAATATCAGACAGTATTTGTTCTATTTGTCTATTCTAGCTTCTACATTCTATTTTTACAACACAAGACACTAAGMTGAAACTCCTTGAAGGAAGGGATACAGCTCCTGTTATTGCAAGTAATTTGAACTTGGTACTATGCTAAAGGAAGAAAAGCTTCCAGTGTCTGTAGAGAAAAGGTAGAATAACCTGCTAACAAACTAATGGTAAAGCAGACTGATATTTAAACTTCCACAGAAATGAAAAAACTCTAGAAACCATAAAAGATGTATACAATTTGTTATCATTCAGAGCAGCCCTGGAAGCATAAGATAGCAGGGAGAAATTGTTCATAAACGTATTTTATTTCTATTCTGTCTTGCTTAGGGTGGAATGAATGAGATGGCTCTAATTAGGAGAAAAGCTTACGCAACCAAGTACTTTTTCCACGCAATGCCTATTTGTCCTGTGGCCCTCAGTGTTACATGCTATTGTGCAGGTGTTAGGTCCAAGTTCAAAAAGTGACCAGAGAACTTAACAGGAGAAATCATTGAGTATTATCAAACACAATCATGAAAGGGGCTCAAGAAATGCTTTGGAAGTTGGCAAGCACAAGGAGAAAAGTAAGAAAAATCACTTTATATCTGCCCTGTCTTCACATCCTTTCACTAGGCACTCCTGGCTACTGTGAACAAAGATACTGAACTGGATCTGAATCACGCACAGCTGTTCTTTATGTGTTCCTACATACTTGTATGAGTCATTCTTGTAGTCATTCTCATTTGGATGAAGAATATTACATACCTGTGCAAYACATTAAAACTTTTCAGGCATTCCTCAGTACAAACTGAAGTGTGGACCAGCTTTCCTACAGTGGTTAAAGTTATTCAGRTTAAAATTTAAAGAACTTGTCAGAATTTAAATTCCTAAAGGCTAATCACAATMATTGGTAGTGTTAAATATAACCTTGACCACAGAGCAACCTCATACAATGATTTCAGCARTGTCCTGACTTAAATTATGGATAAATCAAGTTATAGATTGTTTAGCTCTTAAGTTTTCACTTAATTGATTGTACAAATTAAATTTATTATCAGGCTAATTAAAGTGTTCTAAAATAATRTCGTTTCTAGACAAATAAGCTCCCAAGGGAATTCCACTACTGAAAATTAAATAAATTAATTAATGTTGAAAACAATATTCTGGTTTTTATCCAAATCAGGAGGGAAAAATAGTAATTTGATTGGAATGTTATAGATGCAGAAATTAATTGTGTTTTCTTTAATAGAAGTTATTTGTGTTCCATTACTTCTTAAGAGTCAGGGCGAAAAAATGTAAGAAAAATCATTCATCAAATGATCCATTACATTTTGAAGGATTTTATCATGCTAGTGAGAATATAGATTGCAATTTGCTTATGGAAGCTCTACTGGTGGTTTCAGTGCAAATTATAACAGCATAGATTTCTTTTAAGGCAAATGTTCATCAGAACATTATGATACATCCTCTTAAATAGCTATCCTGATGCAAACAGCAGCAAAGGAGAAGTCCAAAATTTAACCATTTACAGAAAAATGTTTTAAGACCTGCTGTGAARTGCACATGGCATTCTCTGTTCAGTAGGAAACAGAAAACTCAGAAAACAGATATTCAAAACCTATTTGGCAACCCAGCATCCTTTTCTTATGCAMGCTTGCCTAGGTGTCTAAAAATTGGGACCGTCTTCTGTTGTTCTTAACCTAATAGCTTGAATATCCCTTTTATATCCTTTTTTTTCATGTTCACATATCTCCTAAGAGTAGCTAGCTGCTTTAACTTTGGAAGAAGAGTCCTCATGACACTCAAGAAAARTTTCCAAAATTGCAGAAGAGTTATGAAAAATGCTACAAAAATTCAAATGCTGTATGATACTTCTGCTATCCAGTTTCAGTTCTACTTCTAGGAAGACTAAATCTAACCTGACTTTTAAAGCATGTAATCTTGTACTTCTCACTACTAAACTTCAAGATGTAACCACTACTATATATAATCAGATCAGTAATTTTTCGTCACTATTTTTTTGTAGAATCCTTATCCATTGCAGCCTATCAGATCCCAAACCAGAGGCTCTYCCTGAATTATTTTGATTTACCATATTAACTGATTTTAATTAATCCTAATTAAACAAAAAAAAAAATCCGTGTATTAATGTGGTAAGTACTATATGATGTAGAAGAATATAAAATTTGTTTCTTCATCTGCTACTTGGTGTGTTTAATAAATAAATCTATTGAGCAATAACCATTCCAATAGCAATATTGATAAAACAAGCCAAGACAACAATTTCCTACTCCACTCCCTCCATTCCATTTCAGATTTGTGTATTGGCAGCAGGAAAGAAATTACTCTCTCCTTTGCTTTAAGCAACAGACTTTCCGAGTTTCAGAAGCTAATACTGGGTTAAGGAAAACAGGACACAAACTTGACCCAAACCTGTCCAACAAACTTGGAATAGCCTCACTTGTCGCCAATCCTAAAGTCAAATATGAATCCACTATAAAAAAGTAAATACTATGTATTATATTCCCCTGATATTGTTTGGGCCCATTTTCAAAGTCTCAGCCATTTCTAATAAACATATAGAAGAACTGATACTGTAGAGCAGCCTTATATTTAAGTAAATGGGCATCAGCTACATGAAAGCCCAGTCATATGCTTACATTTAGWTAATACTGCAACCCCACCAGCTGTAACAAAATCACTTCTATAGGTAACATAAATACATCTGCTGTGATCAGRGCGTTGTTATTATCTAGAACAACTCCAGGTCCCTGCATATCTAGTGCAGCAGTCTATTTTGGATTCTTAATATAATATCTAGAAAAGGTGAATACTTGGTAAACTGTTGAAGCAAAATCTAATTATTTKAAGACATAGAATTTCATAGAAAATAACTGGTTAACATGTTAGATACACTCCAGTTTATCAGTTTTGCTCTCTAGGTCCGTTTTTCATCCTAAACAAGGGTCACTTGAATGTCTTTGCTATTAAAAAAACCACCCATATATCAAACATCTTACTAACCTAGCTGTATCAGAGGTGGGTGAGACATCCCTAAGTTTCCCCTCTCCCTGCAACAWTCTAAAGTCAGTATCTGTTCTAAACATTTGATACCAGTGGCAAACAGCTATTTAAAACTAATTTCCAAGTTCCATCTTATTACTATAGAACCAGGAGGGCTTTCAGAGAGATTTCCTTCTAGAAAGGCCTTGGGCCACTGGTGATTAGACAGTAAATTGGTATTCAGCAGAGGCGGTCACAGGATGGAAGCTGATTACTCTAGARCATTTATATAACATTTGTGAAAACATTAATAAGAAAACTACAGCTTTTGCCTCAAAGAGGGTGAAAGCCTCTTCAGCAAAATGCCATCCTCAAAACTTCCACAAGGCAAGTGCAAGTTCTTGTCAGAATGGCAAGAGCTGCTGCTGCTATCACATGCGCTCAACTGCAAGTTCCCGAACAACAAGGCCACAAATGACAGTCCCAACCTAATTACCCCGCAAAAAAGAGAAAGCCACGGTATCCAAGATCCTTTCTCTGTACAGCCGCCGCCATGTGGCGAAGGAAAAAGGGAGTGTTAGCGACCGGAGAGGGTGTGGCCTCTTCCGTTCCATCCCCCTATGAGGCTATTTAAGGAGAACGGGAATCTCCGAACCCGTCTYGATCCGCATCGGGAACTTGACTTTGGGTTCGAAGAAAACCGACTCTCTGCACTTTGTTTTCTCAAAGAAGTTTATATTGGTTTTGCTTAAAAGCGTTATTTATTTTTGAAGTGTCCAGGCGCAGCCTCAGCTCCCGTAAACGATGGTGAGTGAGTGAGGAAGGGGGCCCATGCCCCRTGCTGGGTCGGTGGGAAGTGGGATGATGGGGGTGTTTAAACGCTGAGCCGTCGGGCGGCTGTGTGTTGGATGATGTGTCTTGGTGGGACACCCCGCGGGCAGCGAAGGGGAGAGCGGAGTAGTAAMTTCTTTGGGTTATTCTTGGGATGAGATATGGGAATGCCCATAGCCCGAGTAGCGTCGCCTTGTAACGCGATTAGGGGGCAGAACCCTTGAGGGCTGCTAGCATTTTAACTATCATAAAGATTTTAAAATTTTACGAGGGGAGCGTTTAATGTCAAAGAGGGAATACCGCAACTGTCAGGCCAGGCACTTGTGCGAGGGAACGTGTGGCTCGGAGCCGTCGGCGTTACGGTCTGTTGAAGGCTGGGCGACGGAAGACGCTTCACACCCATGGGCGGCCATTTAGTGGCGGYCGCAACATGGCTCCGTGCTGCAACATGGCGCCGTTCCGCTGGGCCGCCCTTCCACCTGCCCGTGGCGGCTGTACCCGCTGCGCGTAGGGTCCGGCAGGAACCCTTGTCGGGGGCGAACRGCTTCCATTGCCCTGAGCGCCAAACCTGCCTGCCCACGCCCCGTCGGCGCCGGGCAGCCGAGGTGTGAGGCTGTAAAATGGCGGCCGTTGGTGGAGGCGCGGCGCACGGCGGCCCACGAGCGGCGCCTCACTCGCCCGAGGGTGCCCGGCCCGGCGTCCCTCAGCCGGCAGAGCCGAGGCCCGGCGTCGCCCGGAGCGCTGCGGGCGCTGTGCGGGCAGCGGGAGCTGAGCTCGGCTCCTAACAGCATGCTGCTTGCTGTTTGTTCTTTCTATTTGAGAAACGTGATTTGCGACTGTAGCGCTGACGCTGCAAACACTATACGAGTAAGGTGGTGCGGCTTTTTTTTTTTTTTTTTTTTTTTTTTTTTTTTTTTTTTTTTTTTTTTTTTTTTTCTTTTTTTTTCCAGTACAGGGAAAGTTACGCCTCGTAAGTGGCTAGCGTGCAGTGCTTGGCCGAGGGCTCCACTTAGTGCCCAGCGGGAAGGCTGCGACGCCAGCCGTGTTCTTGCCTCAGGCAGTGGCGCTGTCATGGAGACTGCCCTCGGAGTCCGCGCAGCGGGACACGGGTCACAGGGGTTAAATGTTCCAATTTAAAAAAAAAAAAAGAAGTAATGCTTTAATCAAAATGCGTGTCGAGGCCAGGGTGAAGCCTGAGAAATTGCGGGCTTGTGTGGCCAGGAAAAAAGCGAAGGTTTTCCTCTCCTGGATGAGTATAAAACTGAGTGATGTTTGCAAAACATTTGGGTGGGTAGGTATGTATTTCCATCACCTGGCCCCAACGATAGTGCTTTTGCACATTTTCTTTCACGAAAAGTCTTTAACTAGCTTCACGAGTTCTGTAAGGAAGACCTTATTCCAGTTTCTCTGCATCAGTTTAAACATGCTTGATGGAATAATAGCAGACTGATTAATGCTGTCTTTCAACGAGAAAAAAAAACAGCTGTAAATTCCGGTAATAGGAAAAACTGAATAAACCCTAATATTCCTGACATCCAGAAATTGGATTTCAAAGCTACTTCATGCGATAAGACAAATCACACTCCTTTTAGGATAATTTTAAAGGGTTGAGTCACTTCAGCTGATGCTGTAATTCTACTATAATAAATTAATCACTGACAGGATTTCCCACTTGAAAACTTAAAGTTGTTTAGGCTTTGGACAATGATTCAGTGGCAGTGTGAGTTCTTTGCCCATAGTCTATGTAGAAGTACAGTCATTTATGTAGTGCTATGTTGATAAAATAATTTGGGTTTAGATTAGTATTTTTTTAAATTGGCAAAATTTTTGCATCATAGTACTAAAGATTTGAAAAGTGACTTTGAAGGGAGATTTTTCTCTCTTGTCTTTGTACCAGGAGACTTACTACTATGCATTTTTCTTCTCCTTTTCAGGTTTTAAGAAATACGTATATTAATAAATCTTTGTTTTGATGTTGAACAACTTGCCAGAATGCCTAAGTAGTCTGTGTATTTTTTCTTCCAGCTACTTAATGTGTAAGAGTGTTAAGTTAGTTAATTTTCTTTAAATATTCTGTTCTGCATCATTAGTTTGAGACACGAACACTGCACTTCCATGGCAGCCAAGGCCGTGTGTGACAGGTGTACTAGCWGTATCTGTTCCTACCAGCTTTCTGGTGCTGGTTCTGGCCCTTACTGAGTGCATCTGCTGAGAGCACAGTTTCCTGTTCCAGGCTGCCAGAGAGCTTGCACAGCAAAGTGAATGCTGCTTCTAGCTTGGTTCGCTGAAACATGCAGAAAGAAGGAAGTAGAAACAAGTTACATCAACATAAGGGTGCTGTGGAGTTGCTGTCCCAGGTTTCAGTTCAAATGCTCTTTAGCTGGATATGCAGCCAAACAATAGCAGAGTACCACTTGGATGGAAAAGCTGCTCATTTAATGTTAATTTTCCWGCTGAATTCTGTTGAGCCACTTTAATTTTACCTGACAAACCTTCGAACTTGTGCAAGAGCAGGTGCAGCAGAAGAGATGGGGMAAACCCTGGTAGTAGCAGCACTGGTCACAAAGCTTGATAGAGTATGGTGGGACTAATTAAAGTAGTTTAGACTAGATTTAGATAATAATTTTTAAAACTTCTTGGAATAATTTTTTTTTCTCAATGAATGTTTCATTTGTGCTATTGAAACTCCTTGTCCCATGATATTTCTGTAGGAAGCTGCAGGTATTCTGGTGTCTTAARGTGGAATATAGTTGACTAAAATAAGTATTCCTATTGAAATACCTCAGGCAGCTCATGTGGAAACCCAGTGTTCAACTGCCTCGGAGAGCAGCACCTATTCAGCAACAGTCAGTCAAGGCTATGTTTTACCAGAAGGAAAAATCATGCCAAACACAGTCTTCGTTGGTGGAATTGACATAAAGGTATTTATATACTTCTAATTGTTTAGCATGTGTGTAGGGTACTTCTCTGGAAAGAAAATGGAAATTAAACTTCTGGTTTTGTRTGGATTTTTTTTGCTTGTTTGTAATGCTGGGGTTTTTTTTCTTTATGTGCGCATTTGCCAATCTCAAGGTATTGAAATGTCTTTGGAGAATTCAGGAGCATGTCTTCCAGAAAAAACCTTTAGTTCTTATGGTGGTGGAACATGGGTTTTAATAATGGTACTGTCTTCTTTACATCAGTTTTAAGCAGTTAAGTGTGCTTGAAGACATTTAAGACCTTGTTTTCTTTTAGATGAATGAAGCAGAAATTCGTAGTGTCTTTGAACAATATGGTACTGTGAAGGAGGTGAAAGTCATCACTGACAGAACTGGTGTTTCGAAGGGGTGAGTAGAATATGAGTGGCTGCTTTAAGTTGCTGCTTATGTTGATGTAATTGTGTAATAGGTGATATGAGTAAATAATTAGCAACACACTTGACATGCGTAAACTTTATTACCAGTTGCAGTTTTCTATTGTGGTGAATTTACACTGWGAACCCTGTGAATCTATTGCCTGTRACTAAATCTGTATAATCTTAGAATAGCCCARTTTTTCTGGCTTCAGTCTCTCTGATCAGGGGAAAGAAGCTCTTTGTCACTTAACCATTGGAAATAAAGCTTAACTTGTGTGATGCTTTCACAGCCAATTATTTTGTAGGGCTTTTCTCATGGGTAGAGTAGTAAAAAATCTGAAGACAGTTCGGAATGGTTAAGAGAAGTAAAATGATTTATTCAGTGTAATGGGTCTGCACTCTTTTGACACTTGGAAACAAGTTCTAGAGTAAAACAGCCCAAACTTTCTTGACTGAAGGGGGAAACTTAAGTAGGTGAACAAAGCTGAAACTGGGGAAATTCACTTTGGATGTATAGAATAATTCTGGATTACTGTGGTGAAACCCTTAGATAGGAAGATCCTTACCCTGTTAAATTCTGGGGAAGTGATGCCAGTTTTGAGGTTATCCCTCCTCTGAGAGGGAGACCATACYCTTTTGAGGTTCCTTCCAGCCCAGTTTTTCTAAGGTCCTGTGTATAGATTCAATGTCACATATTTTTTCTTCAACATGGAAATCTTTTTCTCATATCCCTTGCKAGTCCTCAAAGTGCAATTAGCCAGTGTATGTTATGAGTTTTGATAGCAAGTTGACTTACTCCATTAATGGACACAATTGTTACCATCATGCTCTGAAATGATCTTAATTGTATAGAMCAGATAAACTAGGAGGCAGTGAAATTATAAATTAAAAAATCTCTTCAAGAATTGCTTCCTCCAYTGGTGTCACTGTTCTATAATGCCTGCTTTCATTCAGACCTCTGTAGTAAGTACAAAATTTGATAATAAGTCAGATCTTACTTAATTTTAACTTTCTGAGTTGCCAATATCAACAGCAGTACTCATTTTGARTAGTTAAATGGCAAAATAGCCTTTATTTCTATTTCATGTTCCAAAATCTGGCATTTAGTTTCTTTCATCTGGCCCAGTAGTAGATACTGTTAATTAGCAGTAAATACATTTTAGGCTGAATCCTAAACTAATATCCTAGTTKATAATTTTGATGTGCAGTATACCTGGCATGTTGTTCACTGGTCTTGTTCAAAAGAATTCAGTTAACARTAAAATAAAACTGATTATGGAATAGTCTGTCCTTCCTTTTTAGGTATGGCTTTGTGTCTTTCCTTGAAAATGTGGATGTTCAGAAGATAGTTGAGGTAAGCTCTTTGTCTAAATTATTTGAAAAAGTTGATTTATGAAGGCTAGAGACRAATTCGGGGAAGCCAAGTGACATCCCTGTAGACTTAAGTTAGGACACAGAAAGTCGAGGGCTGCCCAAGGAGTAAGCTTTGTAAAAKGTAAACTGGTGGTAAAATCTTCTTGTATTTGCTTAAGTAAAAAACCAGATTAGTTTTCAGGTAATTAATTTTTGCCTAGTGTGGTCGAACAGCTCATGTAATTTTGTATCTGCTTGTTGTCATTTGTTTGCCTGCTTGCTTTTTTTTTGTAGTGGGTGGTTGTTATAGAACCCTTGTGCTTAYGGCAGAATTGTAGACATTTAGCTATTGGCATGTTTTGGTTTACGATTAATTAAATTGGGACACTAAAATTAATCTTCCATTTAGGTTAAGCAATCCCTTTCTATCAATAAGGCGTGAATATGGCTAGATACAAGTGAAAAAATAACAGTTTTTAATGAAGGAGTAAATAGCAACTGGCAAAAAATAACAGCAATAGTCAGTAGTTACAAAGTTGCTGAAATCTGCTGGACTCCCAGGGAACAAGGAGAAACTTAAAATGGAGGAGTGGCACCTCCCCCAAAATGTGGCRTCTGCAAGCTGACCGACTGTGTGGCTCCCTGCAGTAACAAAGGGAAAATGGTGACAAGTCCTCCCCCCTTTTTGTCTGTCCATCGACAAATGCATTCTAGCATCTGGTACTCTGTCAAGGGCTAGAACTCAGGGAGGGAATTTGCCTTCCTCTCAGCAGCAGATAGCCAGGCAAAGCGAGGCACCTGGGCTAGCGTGGCTCTGCCTTCTCTTCTGCAGGGCTGCTCCATGGTGGCTGTAGATAGGCAGTTCTGAAATTCACCTAGAGACAGTCCCAAGATTCAAGAGAGAATGAAAGAGAAGGGACAAAAGCCCCCAAACCAGAGCCTCTGTTTTGAGCAAACACCATGAGGCAAGAGAGAGTGCTCTCCCTGTTTGCGCCAGCTTTTAAAAGGCTAGGGCACCCTTCCCACGCTGCCCCATGATTCTGCTTTCTGGCTCCAGGGTCTTAAGAGACAGTAGGAATTTTGGGCACAGATACATGTAATACAATAACATTTTGGATTACCCAGGGCGTGGGAATAATAGTAGGCAGGGTTTTATGTCTCAGTAGTTAAGATACGTTTCTCTTGCAGTATTTGTGCATTTGGATGTTACCTGGAGTACAAGTATTCTGTAAGTCTCTTAGACTGCGTTGCAGCTATTCCCATGTCATCATATGGTTTTATTATAGTTAACACAGGAGATAAAAGGGTAGAACTGTTACAGCCTTTCTGATGTTGGCATTTGGTATCAGAGAGATTTTAAATCTCAGTTTTTATAGCCAAATCAGTTACTTGGTTCTGATAGATGTCAGCAGGTCACAAACCACTGACAAAGCTTTTTATTTTACCTTTTTCTCCCCAAATTGAATACAGTAACTGTTAAAATATCATGTATTGAAATACTTGCCTCTTTATACTCTTTGCCTCAGAAAAGTCCTGTGTCTCTGGTGGATGAACAGTTTYTCATTTGCTTCTGAAGCTTTTAGGGAAGTAGATCAGAAAAACAAAACCAGATAGGTGTGCCAGGCACAAACATAATGTTCTCTGATGTGCAGACAAGTTTACTGGCTATCCAGCTCTGTAAGTGGGAAGAGAACGTGTTTGAATGAAATGGAGAGTAGTGAAACCCCAGCAGGAGTTCCTTGATTCTCATCAAATAATTTCAAAAGCTTGCTGTTCTTTAATGGTATTATAACAGAAATACACTGTGACCACTGTACTGAGCAACAGACTTCATCTGAAACACCTTTTTCTTTTTACCGTGGATTACATTTATTGTGCAACATCAGTTGCTTGCTCTGAAGTAACAATTTCTGTGGAGACCTCTTGAGCAGCATTGACATTGGAGCCATGTACGTTGCTGATTGTCTGTGTGTGTTTCTTCAAAACTGGAGCCTGCAGTGTTCCTCTATTAATGTAGTACTCAGTGATGTGACTTTGTATACCAGAGGTCTTGGAAGACCTAGAGGCATATAGTGGATTTTCTTTGCAGTGCACATTTCAGGTCTGCAGGCAGTATAAATTAMTAGCAAGTGAGGAAGAAGCACATTCAGATAGAAATCAACTTAAAAAACCTGTTGGCTTTTGGAGGGGCTAGAAGAAAGGAAGAAATGAACACTGGTGTTTTAGAGCACAAATTGTAAGCAAAGGTTACTGCACTAAATCACTTCAGGCCTTATCTGCACTGAGTGGTCACGGTGTTTTCTGTAAATGAACAAGASAGAGGCACTCTTTGGCTGAAACTACTCTTGATGCCTGTGTTCATCTGCCTGGCTTTGTAGCCTTGTTCGGCCTTGGCAGTATTTTTCTTCTGCTTTAGCTCTGTAACTGCACTCTGATCCAGCATGAATCTGCGGTTCAGAACAGAAAGCAGTCTGCTTTGAGGGGAGGCCTGTGTCCCAGGAGTTCTCATTGTTGAGATGGAAAAGGTGATTGCATGATTCTGGGCACAACAGAATTGCAGGATTAATTAAAAAATGCCCAAAATGACCCAACCAAATGATACCTCCCCCTGAAGAAAAAAAAAATCCACCTGCCAAACTAGTCAGGATATTGCATCTTTTTATATCGTTAGATTTCTACTTATTTCTACAGGCAACAGTAAAGTTGCTGTTGTCTGTTCAAAGCACTTTCTTTATCAGAAATGGGAGAAAATTGCAAAGCCACATATTTTCTTCTGTAGCAGGTGAGTTTGTGGAGTTGCATGTAAACTAGACAGACTGTCTGCAGCCAATACTGGCATTAATACTTCATATGAAATTATGCTAATAGAGCTAAACCAAAAGTCTTTCACTAGAAACCTCCTCTTGCATTAATACTCTTTATTGAGACAAGAATAGTGGAAACCTGTATGTATAAAACCGCAGGGGTGACAGTTACTGATACATAGTTGCAAACTCCTGGTAGTGTGTGTTGCTATTAGGTCAAACGATACATAATTTTGGAGGGTCGGCGGGTCGGCAGATGGCTGTGCTGAGGGCGCCACAGGAAATGAGAGGCAAAAGACATAAGGTGTTGAGGGAGTAGACTGGAGTCTTGTTAAACCTTTATGAGAGTTGTACTATGGTGTAGAAGCAGAGTCCAGTCTATTTAAAATCCCACAAACCACTCACCTTGCTGATTCCCATCTTACAGAGAATAACCTGTCTTTCAGTCTCAGATCAACTTCCATGGTAAAAAGCTGAAACTGGGGCCAGCAATCAGAAAACAACAAAACTTAAGTAAGTACATCTAAATAAATTTGTTCATGTTGCAGGTATTATGATAACATGTTTTTTTCTTAATTTTACATGAGTATCCATGCAAATACTTACCTGATGCAATATGCATATTTCAGTTAAACCCCAGTTCTGGCTTCTATGACTTAATTTGTRTAATGTTGTTTTAATAATGAAACTCAGGGTGGTAGCACAGTACAATACAGTTAATATTGAGTTTAATTCAAGAATCAAGACCCCTGAGGTTTTTTCAGCTTGAATTCTGATTCGTAATGAAATAACATGTGATAATGTTTCAATACTGTTTTTTTATTTGCTTCCAAATAAGATTCCTGTGTGCATCCCAGACGATTAGTTGTTGGTCCGCCTGCACCACAGTTTCAGAGTGTGTGGAGTAACCAGACTATGGAGATTCAGCCATACGTGCAGCCTCCACCTGTAATGAACCCAGTAACACCCTATGTTCAGGTAAGACTGCTCATGATACTGACTTTGAATAATAATGACGTATTTTTAAAGATGCAAGCACATACAACTTCTTGAGTATGTACTGAGATTCCAGTCTGATCTTACCTACCTGTTTTCATATTACTTTCCCTCAAAAGAAGCACCCCAACCTCAAACCACTTCAAAGGAATGCCAGCAAATTTAACAAATTGATTTAGTGATGTTATGTCTATATAAAACAAGAGAGAGATACCCTTTAAGAATGAGAAGTGTTGGAAGTGGAGGGGAGATTGAATTATTTTGAAATTAAGTGTTCTTATTGTCTGTCACAGATGCACTTCACAAAACAAATGTATCCAGATATTTACTGTGTTGCTGTCCTGCATAAATGTATTTTTGTAAACTAAGTATGGAATCAGAAGTTGTCTCTGGTTCTTTTCTCTCCTCCTAGCCAAACATATCCTTGTTTTTGAACTGCTGTTACGTTATAGGAACAGTGTATTGCAGCATCTGCTATTAATAGCCATGACCAACACAGTATGGCCTGCGGGACATCACTGTACTGATACTTCAGATAAGCATTCCTACTGAGATGTGAGGGCAGGGCTTCTGGCCTGGATRTGAGTCCTGTGCTGTGAATGGACCAGATCAGGCTCTCTTACTGCATCAGCCTGTCTGATATGGCCGTGCAACAGGGCAGTACTAGCTACAAGCTGATCCCATTTWGTATATTTTAAGCAAAGAGGAAGAGCAAAATTGCAGAACTACTTCCATGCAAGGCAAGGAGCTTGATCATAGTATTCTTGCTTGCTGATTCTCTGAGTTTATTAATTTAAGAGAGTTAATTCTGTTAAATGCTGGAGTTCTCTTAAATGTGCCTTTAACTATTCTCTGAAGAAGCTGAGAAAGTTGCAGGTTAACTGTCAGAGTACTTACAGGGAAGAAACACTAGGAAATCATCTTAATTGGAGTACTTAGCTTGCTTTGCCTTCTAAAAACTGGTCCTTCAGACTGTACTCCAATATTACATCGTAGTTAGTCTACTTCAGATCTAATTCTCAAAGTTTATGTCATGACTTGCACTTCTGAAATTTGTTAAAAGATCAGTTGCAAGCAGGTAGGAGATTTTAGATGTATAAGACACTTGGAATCCCACTTTGTAGACATAATTAGTGCCTGAAGTGCTGAAGCAAGCTCTGTGGGAAATCTTAAGGGTTGCTTTTAAATAGTGAGTCTAGTCTGCATTGGAATTGAAATAACAATGTAACTACATACTTGTAAAAATATGTTCTTGGCTAATACCTCTACAAATACCATGCTTGTATCTTGCTTCATACGTGCAGTTTTTTAAAAAAAGCTTTGTTTGCAGCCCTATCCATACAATCCATCACCAGCTGTAATGGTAAAGCCGCAAGTTCCCGTAGGCTATCAACCGACTTACGGCTATCAGGTATGTAAAGTTTTAGTRGAAGCAGAAAGGCTGTTTGGTACCTGACAAAACTAGAATGTAGTGTTAACTGTGGTCTGATCTTTCTGTGTTTCTTTTTCTTTGAATTCTATTTTCTTTCAGTTCTTCACAACTACTGAAGTAAAAACAAAATAGTGATGAAAACTCTAGAGTAACTCATCATACTGTTTTCTTTTTTTTTATAGTTTCRTTATGTTTTTTTCTTAAATATGCACTGGTAAAACAACTTCAAAATTAGAAAAAAGTACATACATTAGTAGTACTTCCTCTTSTGGGAAGGAGCTTTGCATTTGTACGTGGTGTGGTGTGGGGTGTTAGGTAGTTGGAATCAGTCTTATCAGATGATACAATGTGGGATTTATGTAGAGGGGGGATGTGTTCTTGCGCTATCAAAACATCAGAGAAGGTGCTTAGTTGATAGTGGGATTTGAACTCAGAAGTGAAATACGTGGCTAAGTTTTGTTACTGAAACTAAACTAGAAGTAACTTGAAACAACTACAGGTTTGAGATTTGTTCTTGGTGTAACTCCTGTGATTTCCCTTATTTTTCTCATATTTAGAAATCCTGTTTCTAGTTTTTTTAAATTTGGAATGAGAACAAGGAGATAGTTGAATAAAATAAGGTGTTTTGCTGGATGTAAGACTATAGACTATTTAGTGAAAAATCCAGATGTGGTGGTGGAAAAATCCAGTGGTGCTCCTGCAGAGCAGTTACTTGTCTGTGTTGGAAATGAATGAATAAAAAGTGGTTCTTGCCCATTTTTTTTTAAGCCTCAAACACAGTGGCATGCTGGGGATCAAAGAAATTACTTTATGCCTCCATCTCAGGTCAGTCTACAAAGTTAAACTTCTGAAACTGTCTTCTTAATCAGCACATTGTTTTTACAGCTCGATGCTTAAAAAAATCAGTCTGTTTGTTGTCTAGATCAGTGTAATCTGGGCTATACAAATGAGTAATTGCTGATAAGATTATGTAGTTGTTTAGAAATTCTATTGATGTGGTGCTTTTTGAGTTACATGGAAGCACAGATCTGCCTGTTTTTTGGCATTATTATGCATGTTCTGGTCAAAGAACTCTAGAATTTTAACCTAAATTGAGTTGGTTTTTCAGGAAAAGTTGAAGGAAAAATAAGTTGTGACCTSATATACTATTTTTTTTTAAATTTGAAAAGTCACAGTGTTTTTTGCAAATACTGATGAAACATTTGGCTCCTTCCAACAGGTTTTTAAAGTTATTTCCTAGGCTGCTACAAACTGTAGATGGTGCTGCTGGCTTCTGAAAAAAAATTCTTGTGTTCTGTGATTTTATATGAGTAACATCCATGAGAAAGGGGGAAAAATACTTGTGTTTATCAGTGTTAGAATTTGAACTTGCTTCCTGGGCATATTTGTGTTTTTTAGGTATGTTTGTTGACTGCAGTTTTATTGTTTTAAAGCTGTAATATATAATTTTACTCTGAAYGGTATTATTTTTCTGTAAGATGCCAGATGTTACTGAAATATTGATTATTAATGATGAAATAATTTTTGTTGACAGCATCCATGAATGTGGTACAGCCATAGTATATTACTTACCAATCTTCTATCATTGAATTGTTATATTTTTAGAGTAGGTGTGCATGGGGGTTTCATTGTTAGATGTTCCAAGCTTGATGATATGAATTGTTCTAGAACTCTCAGTTAAGCAACTTTAAGTATCATTTCTTAAGTGTCTTAATAAAATAGATCATGATACAATATTTCCCCCACTCATGAAATTTTTATCAAAAGTGCAAAAGTTGGCAGTGTTTATGGATAGATGAGGATCAATGACAACATAACTGTGCATGTTTTCCCAGTGTTACCGAAACATTGTAATATTAAAAACCTCTACAGTTTTATTCTTCAGTAAACTATTACGGCAATGAGGAACAAACATTTATGCAGACGGAATGTAGTGTTCCAGAGCCCACACAGTTGCCTAACAGCCCAAAAAAGGTAAGTGCTTCTCAAAACTTCAGTGTTCTTTATCCTAAAAGCTATTCCCAGAAAGTTGCACAAGGGTTATGTAGCTTTGTCAGGGGCCTTGGAGAAATACCCTAGAAATTAAGGTTATAGTTGCTACTTTCTGCCAGTTGTGTAGTCCAATGTATCTGATTTCTTCGTACAACTTCAAAAGTCTCACATTTCCTTGAAACTGTTAGTGTTTGTTTGCAGTGCTGAGGGCTGGATAAAATATCTATTCTACTTAGATTAAGTCTACTGACACGACTGCCTAATCTGTGGAAATTCCAGGGAAAATTACAGGTACTAAAAAAGCAGACTARACAGCACTGCCTGCTGTCTTAAATAGATTTATTTTAAGCTTCAAACATCTAAGCTGGTAACTTTCTCCCTTTCTGCCTGTTTCGTGAAAGGTGGCCCCAAATTAGCCCACAGTTGGCTCTGAATTCGGTTTTCTAAAGGAGACTTAATTATTCAGCTGTCAGCCTAATCCACAAGTGCACTGGCATATCACCGATTGTAATTGTTGCATTGTAACACTGGAGAGGGATAATGAGTTACTAATACTAAAGATTAGGGGGGAGAAAAAAATTACAAATACCTGGGGGAACACAAGGCAGTTGAGGAATTTTGAATGCCAAGTAAACCCTGTGACACACCATTATTGCTAGCAAGTAGTGCCTAACGAAGCAAATCAGTATTGATGTACCTGTAACTGTATTTCAGAAGTCTGTGGACAGGGGCATGCAGACAATAATATCTGTTCAGTCTGATCCTGACAGCCAGCTGACAAATGACATTGTATCACAAGAGAACAATGTAAAGGTATGTAATGAAAGCAAAATTAAATCCCTGAAACATAGCTGACCTTCAATATGTTCACCTACAGAATACCATAAGGATGAAAGGATTCCTATCTCTCAATGCCATTTGAATTTTTTCATTGTACATGCTCTGAGATGTGTGCATTTGGCTCTCAGTTGCTTAATGGTGGAAAGAAGTGCTGAAATTTGATTCAGKGGGTTTAATCAGAACAGTGTAAAAAAATGGTTGAACAGTCAACTAACGAGTGATTAGAGCATAGGTCTGGCTAGTCATTTCCCAGTGACATGGATGAAAGCAGTAGGTTCCTCCCTAGTTTCAAAAGAGGATGTTGAGTTTAAACCTTTATAGTCTGTACAGTGAAGCACCTACTGTAGATGGTGCCTAGTTACGCTTTGTCTCTGCTTTAACCAATAAATTGTAGTCCAGGTTGGTAGCTGCTTGTCATTTTTTTGCTGCATGTGCTCCATCTTCATGGAGTTGAATTTTCTGACTACATTCCAATTCTGTAATTTTAGGTTTTTTAATTCTAAGACCTTGCCTTCTTYTGTAGGACAGATACGTGAATTAGGCAGGGGTACTCTGAAATGGGAATGCAGAAGTTGTGTTTTATCAGTTTTGGAGAGGGGTGAATAGAATACAGGGTGCCTGGAGATAGTTTTCATGAAACTTCAGTTGCTTTATTCTGATGAATTGATTTTTTTTTTTTTTCTTGTGTCTTTGTCCCATCCCAGGAGAGTAAGACATACCACTTCAGGAAAGGAAGGACAGTACACAAAAATGTTTGATGAATGAAGACTTCAAAATATCTAAATTAATTAACTAGATGTTACTACGGTTCAGTTTAGCAATACTGAGTGTAACATTTCTCAAAGTTGCTTTAAGTTATGTTTGTGCTCATGTTCTACCTGTTTTGATACTGTTGTTGTTACTTGAGTRGTTCGAAGTTCAAAGTTATAAGAGTTGACAAACTTCAGTGTTACTGTTTGTGTGCTTCCCCTGACAACTGACTGGAATGTGTGAGAGTTTAMATGTTTGCTGTTTGTGGATTTTTCTCTGAGCTTTAAGGTACAGTTTGCATATTACACATGGTTTTTTGTTAACTACAACTTGACTCATACTGACCAGTTAACTCCTGCAGTTAAAAACCGGAAGTAGTTATTTGCCCAAGAGATTGTATTTTAAGACTGAGTTCTTCAAATCAGTGCAAAAGAAGACGAGAAGTTGTAACTGAGCTGAAGCCCTGTAAGTCCTTGTTGCCTTTAGATGACATAATCAATGTGGTTATGTTCATTAATGGTAGTCTATGTACCTGCAGTCTTGAGCATCACTATCGTTTTTGGGTAAGTAATGAAGAGAATCCTACAAATCCTGTAACTTAAAATGCAAGAATGTTACTATCTGTATTGGACACTCAGCCAATACAAGATTTTTTACTTAAAAATCTTAGCAATACCTGTATTTTAAAATTCTGAGAAAATACTGCACTTAAATAAGCCTTTGTTAGGTGATGCAAACTGTTAATCAAAGAATACGTGTAACACTGTTTTAATAATCATGTAGATTTTAGTTCTGTATTGTGAAACAATGAATAAATTTTTACTTTTCCTTGGCTTCCTAAATTTGTGGTGTGACAAAACTAAATAATAACTTGTTAATGCTGTTAAAAACATACTATCCTGTGTGAGATTTGAAGTTACTATAAATTTGTAGTGACARACTTTCATTTTGTGTGGATACTAGCTGAAGTTTTAAAAGAGGAGAATTGAGAACTGTATTCAGTCTTGTATGTTTGTTCCTAGCCTGCTTTTTTTCCTCCTACTCGGACATCTCAATCTCTCCAGACAGTAAAAGAAAATTATGCCTCTCTTGTTAAGGATGTATGCATCAGGTTGTTTAGGACTAGTTAAACATGTTCTGTTTCAGATTTCCAGAAGGTTTAGAGGTAGTAATGGCTAGGCAAAGACTTTCCCAGAAATAGAGGTTAGCAAAATATGTAGAAGGGAACTGGAATATGTAGGGGAATATGGCTAGAGCAAATGTCCAAGGACTCAGGAGTGTGCTCTGTAAAACTTCATTGAAGGGTGGGGGAGAATGGTACAAAATGGGATAAAGTGGCTCAAAAAATTATGATCAATGTTCTGATAGCATAAATTGACCTGGAAAAAGCAAAGCCCCTGCCAGTTTCTCTACTCACTGTTTCATGTCCCTGAAGACAGTATTAAGTGTTCCCATGACATTGATTTGCCATGTTTTTCTCAGATTGCTGTTTTAAAGATAGTGGCGTGAGTATGCTTATCTACTGTGTTACCAGCCTTTTTTGCAAGGGTTTTTCTAGTCTTGAATCGGGACCCTGCCCTTTCCAGCTTTAGTTCCTAAAYAGCCCTACATGTGCTTTCAAAGCTGTGATGTCAATTTATTGATAAAAGTAGTTGCAACTGCAGATTTCTTCTTGGCTTAAASTTTAAGCCAAGGTTGGCTTGGTTGCCCCAGGCCCTACCTGAGTCTTTCTCCTGTAGCTCCAACAAAATGTCAAGTGCCCTATGCCTAGCTCTCTTATTGAAGAGTGCCACCACCAAGATATTAAACCAGAAGATACCTAGACAGAATGCATGTTTTCTGTTTATTTGACTTGAGTGTTATGCACAGGAATATCTGTTAAGCAAGTTGATTGTACAATGTGTTTAAAATGGTGGTACTAGATTATTAAATGTAGGGTTTATCACAGGGAAAGACATAGCCAAGGCGTAGCAGATAGTAGTGAGCCTTTGTGGATCTGCGTTTGCTTGCATACCGCATACATTCCCTGAGAGACTCTAAAGCTCTGAGTGTACTTTAGGTATTACCACAGCTCTTTCTGAAAATAAACGGTTGCTTAGACAAGATAGAAAAATACAATGCTTGCATTTGATAGGTAGTCTAGAGCTATGTCACTTGGTTTGTTTTATGGTTCTTTCCTAAAGTGGCCCAGTTTGCTGTTTGATGGCCTTTTCATATCTTTTTACACACTTTACCACCTGACAGGATTACTCTTGGAATGAAATGGCCAGTCAGATGGTATTCTTGGATCTCCATTGGAATGATTGTCAGACACTAATTCCATGTCAAAGTGGAAATAGTTTTTTCCTTCTAGGTATTTGTGCTAAAAAGTTGCTAAACTATCTTTAGGTGATGTGGTCCTTTATTGCTACAAAGAAAAGGGTTTTCTTTGGTATGCATTACTGAGAGATTTTTGAAGTCCTCTAACAGATGTACAATCTGTGTTCCTTGCAAGAATTACTTTGTGGGACCAGTATTTTAGGATAGATACATAATTTAAGAGCTTTAATGTCTGCCACTTGTAATGTTGCTAAGAAAGTTTTTAAAAAACTGATACTGGCCATTAAGAAAATTGAAATTTCTTGAGGTGGCGTATGCATCTCAAAAATCCTTTAAGTGACTTTAGAACCAAGATGGATTCTCACTTCCTACTTTATCATTCCTACTCTAAAATTTGGGCTGAACCTGGGGCTACAAATACACATAACTTTTTAGGAAGAAGGCCCGAGTTTAAAAAGGCCTTYGTATTGTCCCAGTGACTGTTTTGGCTTCAGCTTCTGTGGATAAATACAAAGGTGGGTTGTTTTGTTTGGCTGGTTTCTTTTTTTGTTTGTTTTTGTGGGTGGGTGTTTTTTTTGTTTTGTTTTTTTTATTTTGTTCCCCAGGTAATGTGAACTACTGTGTAGTGGTGCTCAAGACAACGATGAAAAAGGGTTTTTGCTCCTTTACCTTAAAGTGAGACTGTAGAAAGTACAGTAATKAGGGCAGGATTTATATTTATAAACATTGCTGTAGAATATTTATACTCCTAGTCCTAAAACAGTTACTGTGTGGACAGTAGTCAAAAAAGGTGCATGCTATAAATATATTTCTGATGTAGTGTGATATTAGCAGTACTGCTTACAAGGCAGTACTGATGTGTCAGCAGTTCTCTTCTTGGGCTGTGAGTACCATGCCCTTCAAGCTTCAGTTCACCTTTTCCTGTAAGTAGGTGTTCAAATTTCAGGGTATTGTTTGAACTATTTGGTGTTTATACCAGATGACCCTTAAAGATCCTTTCCACCCCAARCTGCTCTGATTCTGTCAAGGAGTCTGTTTTTCTTTTCCCCTGCCCCATTCAGGATCACTCTGGACTTAACATCTTCAGGCTGTCCTAAGTTTAGAAGAATATTTTGCTGTGTGGTGCCTTTTCTTGGCTAGAACAGACCTAACCAAATCTCCATCATTATTTTGTACTTGTTCCTCTATGCATGAGTGTTCAAGGAGCTACTAAGCTTCTTATAAAGTCCTAGAACAATTTAGGATTAAATTCACCAGTTTCTTTAGAGGTTGTCTTCTTTCCCTGGGAAAGAATTGTGCTTAGAGCTGTACATTGATTTGTGGTCCATTTCATAGGATGGCTTGGGTTGGAAGGGACTCTTGAGGTCATCTGCAATGAGTAGGGATATATTCAACTAAGTGAAGTAATTAAGAGCCCCATCCACTCTGTAAATGGTACCAGGGATGGGACATTACCACCAGGGCAACCTGCTCTGGTGTCTCATGGACCTCATGGGAGAAAATTTCTTCATTCTRTCCAGAATAAATCTGCCACCTTAGTTTAAAACCATTACTTGTCCTATCAAACAGACCCTACTAAAATGTCTCCATCTTTCTTTAGGGGCTCCCTTTCGTACTGGAAGGCACCAATAAAGTCTCACTGGAGCCTTCTCTGGGGTGAACAATCCCAGCACTCTGCCTGTCTTCATAGGAGAAGTGTTCCAGCCCTCTGATCATCTTTATGAGCCTTCTCTGGACCTGGTTCACCAGGKCCATGTTTTTCCTCCAGATGGGGTCTCACCAGAATGGTAGAATTCCCTCCCTTGGGGGGAAAAGTGTTTGGTCTCTGGCAGTTAATAGTCACGCACACAGTGTGTGTAGTCATCCAGTTGTGCAGCCATCCAGTTCTTGGCATCAGCTGGCTTATTACTCCTGATCATAAGGAGCAGTTAAATTACCAGAATGGGATTAGTGGCTCCTCTGCGTTACAAAAGGATAAATGGTGCCATGTATAAAACATGTAAAGGGGATCCTACATATATATGGTGGAGTAATGATGTAGAAATGTGTTGTGAACACACTTCAATCTCTTTGGAGGACAGTGAAGCCAGGAATAGAGGAGGAATTGCTCAGAGGGCATATAAAGCACGAGTCATTTAGGTTGGAATGGAGTTTTGAGCTCAAGTTCAGTCTGTTAGCAGTGTTTGTTTATTGTGGGACTTAGACTAAGTGCCACATCTACACATCTTCTAAATACCTGTAGGAATGGTGACTCCACTTTTTTGGGCAGTCTGTTSCAACACTTGACTGCTCTTTTTTTTGTGAAGAAACTTTTCCAGATACCAGAGCTGAACTTCCCTTGGCACAACCTGAGGCTATTTCTTGTCCTGTAACTTGTTACCTGGAGGACATGGGGACCTACAACCTCCTTTCAGGTAGGTGTAGAGCATGACAGAAGATCTTGTCTGGACCACCTTTTCTCAAGGCAAAATAGCCGCAGCTCCCTCAGCTGCTCCTCATCAGATTTGTGCTCCAGACTCTTCACCAGCTTGGTTGCCCTTCTCTGCACACACTGGTGCCTCGTTTTTCTTCTAGTGAGGGGTCCAAAGGAGCACAGTATTCAAGATGTGGCCTTCCCAGAGTCCAGTAGAGGGAGACAATTGCTTCCCAGAGCTGGCTGGCCATACTTTGTGATAGAAGCCAGGATGCT